GCCCTTCCCTCTGCCCCGAGGGCATAAAATTTGGCTCTGCCTGCACCACTAGAAAAACTGAAACTGGCTCCAGATCTGTAATTATTAGCATAGATGTCATCTGGGTAAATAACAGTCAGAATATTGTGCAAGTTTAAAGGAACAATGTTTATGCATGTGGTGTTTATTAAGGATTAGAAAAGCATGCTTATGTTGCTTTTAAAACCAACATTTTATCAGGCTGTATCCTTCTTGTATGGAGAGAAGAAGTACATGAGGCTAGATGAAGAGCTACAGTATCTGAAGTTCTGCTGCCTTTATAACAGCACACATAAAGGCTATACACAGCTGGATGAAAACATTTTTTAAAGTCTCCACATTAGGTGCATTGAGTCACCAACAGTGATAGTACAGGTATGTCTGTCGACTAACAGATTCACAGAGTGTATAATTGTTTAAGAAACAAAAGATTCAGTCTCACAGCATCAGATCTGAGAAGAGGTGAGACCAAAACTATGTTTTGGTCGATAGAGTAACACTTCTCAGGAATGATCTAGCTCCAGGGAGAATTACTAACATGGCCCTTTCTTCTGTCTGTCCCCATCCCCACCCCTCACACCCAGCTCTAGAGGTTTTACTGCTCTTGGGGATGACTAGGGCAGAAGGCTGCTAGCCTACACTGAATGGGGTTTATTACGCCTCTAAAACTTTATGTCTATTGTAATTTAAATTAGGGATACAGTCAAAGAATTCTATGCCTTAAAAACTAATTCTTTTTTTTCCCCTCTTTTTAAAATGAAGACACTTTGGCATGTAGATCCATCTATTTCCATCTAGTGAACAAATAATATAGTTTTAATAGAAGTCAAAGTAGGTAGTGGCTCTGGAGAGGGGCTACAGACGTTACTCTGCTTGAAATGGCTCAGAAAGCTAAGAAACCGCCTTACATATAAAATTGCCTGCTTTATAAGAAACTATGACTAATCAAAAAGAAGACTGGAATCTAGGAAGACAGCCAGCCCCCTGACACAGTAGAGGTCTTTCCCAGCACTTTGACTCACACCACTCTAAAATGCCAACAGCTCATGTTAACAATATCTATATCCAGGAGGGATAAATTCAGTCAAAATATTATTTTCATTTAGCATGAAAAGGACTGGAAGAACTGATGGCTATTTTCGCCTACTTTTGAGCTCAGTCTATGAACAAGGAGAGGAAAAAATATGTGCACCTACAGAGTGGTGCAAACAGCAGGTACTGTACAAAAGTGTGACACTTCTTTCTGGTTACTCCATATCAAATAACTGTTTGAGAGTTATTCTGTTTAACAAAATATTGTCCAGGCTATGTGTCCCATTTCCCAAACCAGGATGTGTAGATGTCCCATTTAGAAGAAAAGAGGATCGAGAACTTAAATTTTGAAAAATATTGTGATTTGTATGCATTTTATCTTTCACAATTGAAGCTAACAACATGGCAACTGGAATGAAAAATCAAACGGAGATCCAGACTGAAAACTCTAACTGTTGCTTAACAAGAATTACTGCAATTTTGCTTTCTGCCTGGCTCCCAGTCTGCAGAAGCACTTTTGAACTGGACACATGTAAAATTTTTAAAAGCTTTGAGAAAATACTCAGTTTTTATCGAAAATGTTTAAACAGACAAACTAGACTTTTACACTACAGTCTGTGTCAAACAACACCATCTCTCCATGCTTATTTAACCATATCATAAATCATATCAGATATATCATCTCTGGTTACTGTCCAATGCTAATTACCAGGATCTTTACGTAAATTAAGGTTATAACACCCTTACAGAAAAACAGGCAGCAGATCTAACACAATAATTCATTTTACAGTGGGAAAGTCTACTGAATATGAATGAAAACATCAGAGAGAAAAACAATCTCATCCTTGGAAAATTCAGTGGAAAGTTTTAGAACAAACCCCTGATGACACAGTTCTTACTTATGTGGGTCTGCCTTAGTTCGTACTCAGAAAACCAGAGTTTCGCTCTTATGTTTCTAAGATTGCTTTGCCTCATTTTCATCACTTTCATAAGCAAAGACCTCTCTACAATCCCAAAGCAGCAAAGTGTTGCTGAATTAGCAACAGTTGTTTCTTTTTTTCAGTTTCCACACAAAACACACTTGTTTTCCAGCAAATCCAGTTTTACTGCAGATTCTACAGCGGCCTACTACAGAGGCAAAGAGAAAGCATAGGAAACAGTCAATTTCAAATATATTTGCTTTTAATCTTCTAAGCTTTTTTTTTTTCAATTTCTTACATGCATTAAATAAAAGCAGCAATTGTCAAAGCCCTTCTGTGTACATTAAACAATCCAAAACCAAAAGAATTTCTCCTGCCCACATCCATCTTTTCCTGTGCCAGCAAATTCAGCCAAGTCACTTGACAAATTTAGTGTACAACTCAAAGTTTGTCAAGTCTGCAGAGAACAGCAAAGAACTACAAAAACCTACCTTTTTCCTCACAAGTACTGCTTTTCAGAGCGGTACAGTCAGACGTAAGAGAGCAGAGGACTCGCAATGCTTTTATAGCTCAGCACAGGACACCCCACCTAGCAACCACTGTGTTTCCACAGCCCCAGCAACCAGCTGCTCTTTGCAGCAGCTAAATGTCTGTCCAAAACAGAGAACCACACAAAAAGAGTTATTGCAAAACTATGTGCTGGAAAAAGCAGAAGCAGAGTAAGCATGCTTTGGTAGGTCTCCTCCCCTGCCATGGCCACATCCCTCACTGTAGTAAATTGCTATAAATCTTTCAGGATTGTAGGATTAAAATGATTAAAAAACTAAACTTGAGTTACTCCTTCCATGTTTTCACATGTCTGATGCCGCTTAAAAGTGAATATATTAAGATATGTTTGTTCAGTGAAACTGTGACAGAAAATAGGAGTGGAGAAGGGTCAATGCGGCTTCCACTCTTCACTGAGCTCTGGTGGCTATTAGCTCTGCTTTTTCTGCACATGAGCCCATGGCAGAAATGGTCCAGGAATAACATACGTCTAAAACTTAGTATCAATACTCTATTTTTTATTTTTTATTTTTTTTTAAGGAAACTCCTGGAAACTGGCAGGCTTAATAGAAGGGCACTAAATGGCACCTACATAGTTAGAAAGAGGTTGAAACATTCAGATTAAACTCTGAAGTTCAAAGTGAGAGGATTTTGCACAAGACGAGGGATTTCGCCAGCCGGCTAGAAGCAGTTTTCCGCAAGCGCTTCCTCACCAAGCCAGCCAAACACATTTTCCAGAGCACGTCCAGCACAGCACCTGATGCCTGGGGCTGGGCTGCCCCCAGTGTCCTCCTGGCTGTCCTACTCCTGGCTGGGGTGATACGACAGGAGAAGCTGCCTGGTTCTGACTTGCCAACCCCCATGGGAACCCCCACCATAGTCATGGCCCCCAGCTCCCCCGACTCACAACAATTTTCCCCTGCACATTGTTCTTTGCTTTTTCCCTGCACGTTTCACATATTATTTGACAAAGGTATTTCAGATATTTTCAGTAAGCTGAGTAATTGAAGGAGCCTACCAGCTGACACTGTAAGGTTGTATTTGACTTTGTTTATTAATTAAGATGTGTGAAATCCAGATTACTCCTTCCCTCCTGACTTTCTCCATGTCAGCACAACTCTACCAGTCTTATTTCACTGGTGTTAGATGTTGGCCCAAACTTCTGTTTACACTCTTTTTCTGGAACTGTTTCCCTTGTCCATTAATGACCATGGTTAATTACAATCCATTTATACTGAAAAGCTGGAAATCTGGGCATATCCCCAGTGCACTTAGCCAAGTTTTTTTAAGTACTGAAATAACCTACAATGTTGGGCTACACAGGCTCGGAGCATCTTTGTAAGTTTTTGGCTATTAATCAGTAAAGAAAACAGCACAGCAACATTTACTACAGAACTATAAGGGTAGGAATTGGTGTGTTACCAGTATTTAGTAAGACAGTCTTCCCTGACAACTTTTTTTGCTGATATGCTTTCTCAATAATTGGACTATTATCCCATTTTCATCATAGTAGCTTTTCACCTCTTTTTTTTTTAATTGTATTGTCTTTCAGGCCTCTGTTTCTGCTTTCAGAGCAATCCGACATGAAGGTGTCATGCTACAACTCATTACGGGAGCTGTCGGCATTTGCTTTTCCTCCTTATTGCTGGGTGGGGAGATGTTGACTCATCGTCTTCCTGAAGCTGGAGTGAGTCACTATCTGAGCTAGAGAGCTTTATTGTACGAAACACTTACATTTAAAAAGTACAATTTAATTGGAGGGAGCTGTAGTGTTTATTGTTAAGTTTTTATCCGTAACTCCATCATTTGTTTCATAAAGTTGTAACAGTTTGTGTATTGTTTATTGTCTATCTGGTATTGTTTATTCAGAAGTAGAAAAGCATGCAGCCACTGCCATAGTATAAATGAGACAAAAAGAAACGTTTTTCTTTGCTTTTATATTCAATGTGAGACCTCTCAAATACCGCTATTACCACTATTTTGATACAATAGTCAACATAGTATAGAATACAGTTGTTGCAGAGAGAAATGGACATGTTCAGTAAAAACAGAAAAGAAAAATAGTCGCTTTTCGTAAACTGCCATATTTGACCTTGCCAATTATTTCTCCGGAGGCTGGCGATAACACCTCGAATGGGCAAATGGAGTTTCCCTGAGTAATTCATCCTACACAAGATGATAGCAAAATGAGTGAGGAACTTTGCTGGAGGTGGGGAGAGAGATCAGCAGCACTTACATCTATTTCAGAGTCTGATGCCTCCCTACTGTAGTTCTGTGTTTGTTCTACCTGGAATGCCTTAAAGAAGACTGAAGTTTGGGGATATTTGGGAGAGAACCATTCTATCCGCATTCAGCCAAAGAACCCCATTTTACAAGTGACTTTCAGATTATCTATGAGATAAACATTAAGTGGAAAGTGATTCTAACAAATTGCATTGTTTTGAAATAGGATTATCCTACAGGAGCTCCTGAGTATACTAAGTCAGACAATAAGTCATAAACCAGAGCTTTTCCTGTTTCTCACCAGGACAATCATCCATTCTGAGCAAGCTGTTAGCAAGCCAGAGCCACCTGGAATCTACCTCTCTCATCTTTTGCCACTTGAGACTTCCTTTATCTTCAGTAGCTTCTATCCACATCCTGCAAAACTGAGGAGAAACCCATTACTCCATTTCCTTAAGTAGCCAGGACCTGCAGGGTAACCAGCTGTACTCAGGTTTCAAGTAACAGAGACAGTGATATAGAGGATACAGGTCTAAGAGCATGCAATGTCACCACTGTATGAGTTACAGCAGTCCTACCGAAGATAGTAATACATCCAACACAACATTCCAAAGCAAACCCACTTTTTCCACTGACACATATTTACCAATTCCTGTACAAATTCCTGGTTTAGGAAGCACGTCTTAGTTACATTATTTAGAAAAATATCTTTTGTGCATACTGAACTATAGTGCCTCCTCAGACCTTCATCTCTTCCTTTGACATTACAACAGATTAGATTTCAATTTCAGTGAAAACAGCTATACTATCTGTTCATTTGCATCTAATATCCATGATTCTGAATAGGTCCATCTAGAGTCAGGTTGTGATCATGAGTAACCTCATGATCCTATACCCTGGCTTGGTTGGCATAGAGCTTCAAATTTAGACACACAACTTCTGTTTTAGCTTCATGCTTAAAAAGGAAAAGCAAAAGAAGAAGAAGAAATTATATTCATAAGACATAATCAAAAACTATGTAATATCTGTTATGGCTTCTCTGTTAAAGGATTTATTTTCATTAATGTTTCATTTCCCGTACAGATCATGTTTCAGCAGCGGACCTCTTTTTAAGCTTGCAAATAGGGACAATATTGGACAACGTGCATTTTTGTCTTGATACTGATTCAAAATAGCTCATAAGTATTTCTGAGGAATTTTATGACTGGAATTAAATGCATTTGGTTTTGTGCTGCACAAAATATTTATCATTCACCTCTCTCTTTCACCATAGATTAGCTAATATTTTGTTAGTGCCTCATGAAATACTGAATTGGCATTGGTCCTCTGACAACAGGAACTCCATGCTATAATAAAACTTGCACCTGCTTCTATAATTAGCTCTAACACTTACTATTCACTTAGCTGCAGTAAATACGTTTCTGTAGCTCCAGGGATTTCTAGAAGTATAAAGGGATTTTCTGAGTCTCATGGTAAACTGAAGCTCATCTATCCAGAAGACACAAAACGTTAGTGAACTGCTCCCTACATAAAGAAATAAAAATAGCCAATGTTGTACTAGAAACAGGCAGAATACCTCTGTATGTGAAGTCATGTTAAGATGACATCATTTTAGGAGCCAGAAGTCCTATTCAAATTAAATTATCTCAAGTTTTGTCACTCATTTTAATGGAGGCAGGAATTCATCTTAGGGATGCAGGTTGGGAAATGCTTCCAGAAGCTTTTTCAATTTGTCAGACTGCCTTCCAGGCATAAGCCCTGACTCCGCTATGGTTTTGTGCCAAAGTAATTTATAGGAGGAAAATCTGGACCTTCTAGGAAGCCTCTAGGAAAAAAGCTTCGAAAACACTGGTTACACAAATCCTCCTCCAAATCAGAGTAGAGCAAAACAGACCTGTATGATGATGAAGTTGTGACAAAAGTAGTAAATCACTAAGGAATTTATAGCTCAGTGCACATGCAGTGGGTAGTACTAAGGGAACAAGAAAAAGAAGTGGGAATGCATAGGCTTTTTACTGTCCTATGCATGTCTATAATACTAATCAGAGAAGTGTATATAATAACAGGAATGGCTTTTAAGAGAAAAGGACACAGCTTTACTTTAAACAATTTAATAATATTACTTCAGTGGAAAGCTCAGTACCTGTAATGAAGAAAGGTCTTGTAAAAATAATAATAAAACAAACAAACAAACAAACAAAACTGATCTTAGGAGGAGTGGAACTGGGTGATGTCTTCCAGTGAGACCAAGAAGCAGGATGAGCAGTCCTCTGTATTTCAAAAGAGCATGAACCCTGCTGCAAAATTATGTTGTTGTAACTCCAAAGAAATAAGAGACAACACTAAGTAGCAAAAACTTAATGAGCAGATGAACCACCTATGGTGTTGCAATATGTAGGCAAATTTAGCTGTCTGGAGGTTTAAAGCTTATTTGGCTTTTTGAAATTGATTTGATTCTCCAAAGTAGCTTTACATCTGCTGCCGTTTCTGGATTTTCTTTTTCCTTTAAAGAAAATCTGTGTATTAAACATTTCCAAATATCTCCTTAGCAAACTGTGCTGCTTTGGTTGTTTCCGTGTGTTTAAATGAACACCAATGACTGCATGTGTTGAAAATAAACATCCGGGTTAAAACAATAAAGCACATTCTTTATGTTTTAACATAAAGAGGAGTATCAAAAGGAATGAGTATCATATTCCGAAGCTTCAGAATCACTTCAGTCAAGTTGAGACCTGTTTGGAGTGGCATGG